AAGTACCTCACTTATGTTAACTGCCAAAAAGCAGAAATCATATTATGAATCAAATCCCATCAAAGCTTTTCCATACTACTGAAGAAAAACTAATACAAAATTGGACAGTAGTGAACAGTGCTTTTCAAAAAATATTGATTAATTACTGAGAAACTAATCATTTAACCCTAGTCTAAACTTACTTACGCCTGTTACTTCTCGTGAATGAGAATAAGCCGCTGACCAGCATTCTCCATCTAACCCTGTCCTGGTTTTTCTCTTATGTGTATTGAGGCCTACTGATGCAGAGACTGCTGCTACACTAGTTGTCGAAATCTGCATTTGTTCGCGTGTATGGGATAGGTGGGTTAGGTCATCTGCGAAGTACAAATCGTCTAATTTGTTCTGAGCTGTACATTTTATTCCACTTTTTCCCACAGATGTCGAGGTCTTCATAATCCAGTGCATCACCAGAAGACGGAGAAAAAGGGAGAGCAGAGAGCCTAGTTGAAAGATAGAATCAAAACAATAAGTATTCAAGTGATTGTTTGAAGGTAGACATTCATACCTTTGAATGCCGGGGAAATTAGTGGTATGGAGCTTACGTACACGCAAGCAAGACCAAACATCCTGGGTTCAAGTCCCATCAGTGGAATCGTCGATGCGCACTTCTGAAGAATCCCATACTAGTAAAGAATAGACCGTCAAATACTTCCACGTTTTCAGTCGTATTCCAGCTTAGATTGACTCGTCAATTCAATTGTCAATTGACAGAATTACCAATCAAAATAATATTCACCACAAAATCCCATCAACTACTTTACAGAATGGAAGAAATCACCTAAAATGCAAAATAAATCATAATAATATACAAGCCGATATAAAATGATAGTTTACAATAAAATTCATTATCATTAGTCCATTCTATTTTATTCTAATCTATGCCAATCTGTTTTTCTTCATCAAATGTCTACACTCTAATTTACTTATTGAATTACTGAAATTCCTAACTTCTTAACCTAATAGAAATATGAAAAGAAAATGGAACAAAACAAATTTACTTTAAGTACGTGCCACTATCATAAAGAAGGTAGTCTATGAGAAACAATAGATAGTTTCATTTTTGTTTGTTGTTGTTGTTGTTTGTTTGTTTGTTTGTTTGTTTGTTTGCTTTGTCATAATGAGACAGTATTCTCAAACATCAGGTTCCGAAGGTCAATCTATTGTTCATTCGCCCACGTAACGTAATCATATTTGGTGGTTTATTATTATTATTATTATTTTCAAGATAAATTTCTACAGAAATATTCATCTTAATTCTTTTTATATGACTTTCTAACGTTGATCAGTGTTGATTTCATACATACAATCGTCACTTCCTCTAAATTGGTTTCTTCTCAGTTAACTTGGTGATTTCATGAAAGCAATTGTCAGATTGTTTAGTGATTGATTCTTGGTAAGTGTGATGCTGAGTGGTTGGTCGATGCTGAGACATGCTTCCTATTTGCCAGATAAACTTACTACTTGAGTGAGAATACAAGTGGTGAATAGGGAAGTGTTTAGTGGTACTGTTATCTGACTCCAATTAGAACGTATGCTGATTGTTGTAGAAATATACATGCCTTCAATCCTCGAATATAACTATCAACGCAATTCACGTTAGACAATAACGGAATAAAGCAAGTCAAATACGAGAATGCATTTTGAATTGATATATTTCGAACACTCATTGATGCAGACAAACAATCAGAGAAACGGATTGAAGAGAGCGAAGTGAACAAGGCGAGACGAGACGAGACGAAACGAAACGGAACAAAATGAAGGAAAACGAAGTGAGGCGTAGAGGAGAAGGTGAGTGAGCGAACTCGTTTCGATTAGGCGTGACTCAATATTTATATTCAGACAAGAATAATGCATATCAGACTGACACGTGATGAATAGGGTAAGCAATGAGCATATATACGATCATATAAGGGTTGTCAGAAATTACTTCCTAATGCTTGTTACCCTCACTGGTGCATAGGCTGCCGACCAACATTCTCCAACTCACTCTATCCTGATCCTTCTTTTCTAGTTCTATCCAATTCTTGTTCATTCTTCTCATGTATGCCTTCATTTCTTGGCGTTATGTGTTCTTTAGTCTTTCTCTTCTCATTTTTCCTTGAGGATTCTAAGTGAACGCTTATGAAGCAGTCGTGTGCTTTCCTCAATGTCTATCCTATCGACTTCCAGCTCTTCTTTCTGATTTCTTCCTCCTCTGGAATCTAGTTTGATCTCTCTCAAGGTAGGTTGTTGCTGATAATGTCTGACCAACGGATTCGAAGTATTTTGCCTAGACAACTGTTAATAGACACTTGTATCTTCTGGATGATGGGGTTCGTAGTTCTCCAAGTTTCCACCTTATACTACAGATTGTCTTAATATTTGTATTGAAAATTCTGATTTTGATGTTGGTTGATAGACAGTTGTTTTGAGTTCCAGATATTCTTCACTTGTAGATGTGCTGCTTTTGTTTCGCCGACTCGCGCCTTCACATCTGCATCAGATCCACCGTGCTCATCAATGACGCTGCCCAGCTATGTAAAGGTTTTTACATCCTCCAAAGCTTCTCCGTCAAGTATGATTTGATTGGTGTATGTCCTGTTGTATCCATTTGTGTATGATGAGACCTACTGCTGCTAAAGCTGCAGCTGCGATAGAAGAGCCAGATCACCTGTGAATTCTAGATCGTCCAGCTGCATCCTAGATGTACACTGTATACAGTGCTTCACCCCAGATGTTAACGTCTTCATAATCCAGTCGCTCACAAAGAAAAAGAGAGAGGGTGAGAGTAAGCAACCTAGTGTTACGCTGGCAATTATTTCAAATGAGTTTGTAAGCTGTCCTCAATGTACGATTTAGCGGTTTAATTCATCGTAAGAATTCCGTATGATGTTGACGATCTTCTCAGGCACGTGATTCAGTATGTATATTCAGAAAAGAATAAGTTACAGACAGACGTCTGTGTGGTGATAGTGATGATGATAATCATATTTTGACTCTCAACGACCTCTTCGCACAGTGTTTTCAGACTTTGTCTTGACAATGTCTTACCGATGACATCCAACCAGTCAGCATAGATAATGAAAAATACCATGCGTCCTCATCATCATTATCATCGTCACCATTAAATTGTAATTTGTAATTATTACCTTATGTGTGAATTGAATTACAACGCTTATGAAGGCATATGATTTGGCAATGAACAAGATAAACACGGTCAATTCACTTACGCTATCATTAACATTCCACACTAATTTGTGATTTGATTATGTCAATTTTAAACTAAATTATGGTATTTGTTTAGTTAATAAACTCAAATAAACAAATTTCATCAAAGCAATTTGCATTCATTCATTCATTCATTTATTCATTCAATAATTAGTCTTGGAAATCTAAAAGTCTACTCCAGGTCAACTTACTCTGGCTTCATTTACATTCCTTGTGTATGTTGGAATGTCTCAGTATAATTACACGATGGTCATACACTACTATTGAATATTCAAGAGTAATAATCAGTCTGAAATGTAGTTGAAGATTTCTGGTAAGATTTATAATTGAAGAAATTGAAATTCAAGATTTGATGTAGGGAAGCACATTTGACTGAATTATATAAATGTATCGTTTCAACAATACTGTCCATCATGGATGGATTGATGGTGCCATCACCATTCCTAATGATGAAACGAATGGTTCATTCATCATCAGAATGACTACTCACATGATATGAAAATTCTCACTTTTAACAAAAGCGTATTCTTTCAATGGACCAAGATTGAATTAGTTTAGTGTGAAATGAGTAGTTACACAAACAGTGAAATAGAGTTCCTTTTAACCAACAACTCACACATCTAACACTCATGGCACTGCTAACGAATGCCAATCAGTTTATAGTTGTGAATATGATCAGACCATGTTTTTTTGCACTAATCACCATTTAATATTTCTAATGTACCATAATTATTTTCACCAGTAACTATCTGCAGCACGATTGAGCACAAGGTGAATAATCACAATTTAGTAAACTATGAATGCACACAATCTGTCCGATTATAATAATTAATGCCTAACACATTGCAACAAGTAGTTGCATGTTTCCCTGATGACAACAATCATCTGTATTTCATTTCATACAATAAATCCTTGTGAATTATCAAGCAACGTAATCGAGTGAAGAACTTGAGTAAATAACACTAGAATACCGTTATTCCTGTAATACAATCAGTGGAATAATGTTTCTTGATAATTCGACTCATAATTCGACTTTCTATCAGGTCGATAGATGATGGTTTATTGTGACGAGACATCTGAGTGTTGATGAACTCCGAATAGGTTCAATTTTTTTTTCATTCTTCGTCTATTCATAATTACAATTGAGTGAGTTGAATCCCGTCTCGATTTTGTCTTCACAATATTCATCAATGATGAGTAAATCTTTGTCAGATCACACAATCGAATCATTTCCAATACAATATTCCAGAGTCATCATCCTCTTTACTCACAAATATTCCTTCAGTGTCCTCAATTCAACTGCATTACAATGAACCGGGCACCCGGGAACTATCACAGCCCTCACACATATCAAAAGAGATTTTTGTGGTGCATATGTATTTGGTGCCTCTTTGTATTAATATCTATGTGTTAAAACGTGAATTACGATGAAGCCTTTCACACAATTCACTACTCTGTGATCAAATATCCATCTCATCATGCTCATTGATAATGTACTTATTATTTCGAACTGACTAAACGAAGTGACTTCTATGTGACAATGAAGTACAATGAATTCAACGGATTCTCCTAGCAATCTCGTTCGCGATTTCCTCCTATAGAATTATTGTCCTAATTCGACTTTCTATCAAGTCGATAGTTGATTGGTTAACGCGACGAGACATCTGGTTGGATGATCAACTGTATGCTTCACTCTATATAATCTCAGTAGTTTCTTCTTCACTGTGAATAAATTATTTGACAACGTTGAAATGACTACACGTGATTATAAAAGTGACTGCATAATTGTAAGTCTTCAAATTGTTTTCACTATCTGTTTACCTGTGTTTTCAATTAGTTTGATGATAGTTATGAAGGATATTCAGCGAAGAATTTCACTTTACCAGAAATCTATGAAAAACATATTTCAACCATTTTGGTTCCAAGTGGAATGATTGAGAATCGTTTGGAAAGAATGTCTATTGATATACTGAGTGAATATGAGAAATCTGGTGTACAATCTGTCTACGTGATTTGTATATTGAAAGGAGGTTTCAAATTTGCTTCCGACTTATTCAAAGCATTACAAGAGTATTCATTTACACGTCGAAATTACATAAAAGTTAGTATTGACTTCGTCGCTGCAAGTACATACGTTGTAAGTAGTAATGACATTTTGTGAATTAATGTCTATCAATTTATTCAGGATGATTCAGTAGGTCATGATACCAAAATCACTCCGTGTACAAATATGGAGAAGTTCAGAGATAAGGTAGGTTGAGCAGAAATGGAGAGAATTTATCATGATCATTTGGTTCTTCTGTATAGGACGTACTCATTGTTGAAGATATGGTTGACACGGGCACAAGTTTAAACGAACTGGAGAGATTTGTGAAGAAATACGAACCGAAATCTGTTCGTTCAGCATGGTATGTTGTGTTGATGTTGTTCTCTTATCTGTATTATCACCGAATGCATTCGAAGTGAGTGTTATGTGTATGTTGAGTTGGATGTTAACAGGTTGAACAAGTGAATTCATTGTCTAGTAGATCTTTTATACATTTAATTCAATAGACACTGAATGTGTAGAAATCAATTGTTTATCTTGATAGTAAGTACTACTGATGTGGTGTGACAGATTTGTGAGTTTATTTGTGTGCATTTAGTAAATAATCGATAATGGTTGTCACGTACACTAGAATCGTTCAAATGCATGGTATCTTTGAGACACATTGTAAAGAGAGATAAATGTCGTCGTATTTCACATTGATTCCAACGTCTTATGATTGAACACCGAATCACGTAAACAGTCAGTAGGATGCTTTAAGTACTGGATCGATCGACTGCTGATACTCAACAGCTTGACCTAATTTGTATGCATTTTCACATTGACAATCACTAAACCAATTACTTTAATTTTAGTAGTTGTGCAATAACATGTGTTGATGTCATTTTTCAATTGAATCACAGTTTACTGGTCAAAAGAATAGCCGAGGTTCCTGGATATAAACCAACCTGTAAGTCTTCAATACTGAAATTGTTCGTAACAGAACTATCATTGTATTTGTGCAAATGTTAATTTGTTTGTATCTCTACTTAGGCGTATTATGGCTGACTAGATTAGTGTTCAAGTGTATGTAAATTGAATCGTTCTAGGTTCGAAGATGTGAGTCACCGAATGAAGATCTGATCTTGTCAGAATCATTTCAATAGTACAACAGAATCTGTTGGAGATAGACGTTGTGAACTAATTCATTGAACAAGTATTCATGGAGTCAGAGTGGGACATCATCCACTGATTTATTGTTAGATGGAACCCGATCATCACTGAACAGCAAAGAACTACTGTGTTTTTGGCCGGTTGTGTAATAATACCTATTGACCGTGTTCCAGTTCCATTTCTAAAGAAAATCTATTCACAGTGTTCCTGACCACTGATAACACATCCAACCAGGAATATAGCAACCGTGTAAGAGGATTCAACAGTCAATTCTTTCCTCACAAGTTATTTTGATCTCTGTTAAAATCAAACCAAGTGTATATTTGAGTCACTCAAAACCACATTAAGTGGTTCATTCAGAGATCAATTGTCACGACGTGCAAAGTAAAACTGTGTAACACAAGTGTAGCCTACTTTTGATCAGACACGCATCATTACTCGTCATTTTAACTTATTCCATCAAACTGATTCGTATCAAATGGCATTTTGTAGATGTTGGTTTCGAAGTACCGAATGTATTCATAGTTGGTTATGGTATCGACTACAACGATCGCTTCCGTGAATTGCCAGTAAGTGAATTGGACGAATGGATAATTTGTTGTTTTCCCATTTGTGTTTGTTATTATATGTGGGATGATCCAGTTGGATGTGTGGAGTAACATATGTTGGAGATTCATGAGTAGGTATGAATGTGAGCGAGTTATTACGTTGGCCAACAAAAAAACGGAACATGTATCACTTGAATGAATGAATGAATGAATGAATGAATGAATGAATGAGATGAGATGAGTCAAATTTGCTTTCACATTGTTCAGAGAAGATATTAATATTGTTCACTTTTTCTCCTTTGATTATTTCCTCTCCTCTCAAGCATGTCTGTGCAGTGAACGATGAAGGTAAACGTGAATTCCTTGGCCAAGGTTAACATCTCTCTCGAGCTTCGTTTAACCGTGTATTAACCGAGAAAATAATCAGATTTGTGTCGAACGTTCCATCTTTCAATGTCATCACGTATACATTTAAAAAAATGTATATTTTATACAGAAGAGAATTTATTTTGTACTATTTTTGCAAAAATATTTGTTTTTTGACAGATACACTTTGGTCTTTTGAATTTATTTCCTAATTAGTTCAGTATGTCTAATTTACAAAAAGACTATTATGATTGAGAAGCCTACTAGTTCCCATTTTGCTTTCAACTGCCCGTTTAGCTAAATATTTGCAAAACAGTTCATGCTGCGCTTAATCATACAAATAAAACATCTTACGATGTTCCATAAATACTCCCACTGAGACATTGAATATTCAAGTTTTGCGAAGAAATATTTCGTCTCAATTAGTTCTTCATCAAGACTCTACACTAATATGTAGGTTTGACAAATGAGTAGAAAACCGATATCAGTTAGATGGTTTCGAGTCAATTTAACAATGTAACAGTCAGTTAGTAACCATACAATGTGTTCATATTCATGCAAATATCTATTTTATGAAACGTGGAAAATATTCAGCATTAACAGCGAATCACAACTAAAAAATCCCTGTGAGACTATAATTCATGGACGAACTTTGAGCGACGCTAAAAGGACCTTGAGAATGTCCACTTACATACTAAGGCAATATGAGGGTTGTAAGCCAGCGTGAGGAATTAGGATTAATATTTACAGTTGATAGAACCAAACCTTATTGACCTCATATCTGATGTCGCTGATCCTCACCATCTGGTCAGCTCTAGTGGACTCTCTACTCAATGCGGGAAATATGCTTTAAATAGAGTCAAACTAACTGTAACTTGGGAATATGAGGACCCAACGTTATTTCGTGGGGGAGGATGAAGTCATAAAATCTAAAGCTGGATCTCAACATAGAGTCTTCAAAAAAAAAGGAAGGGGAGGTGACATGATGGAAAGAAAAGTCAATTTTCGATTGATTTACTCATTATGAGTTTTGTTCAATAATACTTCCATTCTGATTCAATGTGATGATTACCCGGTCTAGTATTTGTTTTGTTTCTCTTGTATGATATTTTATTCTATATAATATACGATATTCTTGTATTCCATTGACATGAACTATGCTCTATATGTGATTTGTTATAACTGATGTGATTTGATCCTAATTATGAATCGAAATGGGTGTACAATCAATATATAAATGAGTGTATTTTCTACTAGAGTTGTCATCGTCGTCAACGTATTTGGGGTTAATAACTCATCAACTATACCAGTCTTTGTGTTTTTACTTTCGTGTCGTGGGAATTGCAGAGGTGCCTCGTTCCGAGTACAAGTGATAAGCGTTTCCGACATAACAATCAGCGACGATCAGATACAAAATGTAGCATTGAAAGAGCCAAGACAATAAGCATTCAAGCGACAAATTATAACAATCAGCTGAACAGACATCTGAGCAAACCGTTAGTTGTATGGTTTTGTCGACAAAAATTTAGTGGTGATTATACGTGAAGGTATGACAAATAGTGGGATCGTAGATTTACAAAAGTAGACGATTAATGTGTATTACACTTGTCTAAACAACATGTTTTGTTTGGGTAAGGTTACTGCTTAACAGATCATGGAGTAATGATAGTCTGTGATGTGTAGTAGTCGTAAATTAGTAGTGGATTGGTCTACCAATCTGTTCAATAAGTGTGTAATATCAGGTATTTTTTGGAAATTTTCCTAGTCAGTACTGTTTGTGAGAGTATAATTGTTGCTATGAATTTCATTTCATGCTCTAATTTTCACTTCATCAAATATCTTAATTCCGAAATCTGAGACAAGCGACAGTGACGTATTTATAGAAGACATAGATAGCTTCAGATGATTGACACACAATTGCCAGTGAAATTCTTGTTCTTATATGTTTGAAAATTACTCAATAAATGAATAAGAAGTGCCCGAAAATACTTGATTCTGTTGTTTTATTGAGCGCAACAAGGGTATGGTTACTCTCACAAGTTGGAATTCACTAAAATCTTGAACAGTAGTAAAGATGTTGCAAGTAATAAGGTTCTAAAAATGTTGTTTTTCCCAACATTTTTATAATCGAGAATCCCAAAGCCAGTCTAACCAGAATTCAGGGATGGAGGAGTTCAAAGATATATTTACAAGAAAGTCGAATTGTCGAGAAACATATGATCAAAGCTGACTAGTTATTGATAGAGATGCATGGCCCGGTATACGTAATAGTGATCTGGTGCGGATGAGTGATCGAGTGCCTTTTGTCAGGGTGTGTCCAAGAAAACTAATGACGTCAGTATTATTTATTTACCACTACATTATTCATATTATGTACACCGAAATAAATTGATTAAATTACATTAACTGCAAAAACCATTAACTGAAACAAAGTGGATATGTACAATACTAACACATCTTATAGAGGGAATGATGTAAGGACAAATAACAGGATCGTAAGTGTTCATATCAGGAAAAAGCTCAATATGTTCCTAGTTCTATATTACTTTACACTTCACTACATTTAGATTCAGATCATAATAATACAATAAAGTTCAGTATTATTATCTCTAATATTACTATTTTTATTCTTCTGATTTCCCAAAAATACCTGATATTACACACTTATTGAACAGATTGGTAGACCAATCCACTACTAATTTACGACTACTACACATCACAGACTATCATTACTCCATGATCTGTTAAGCAGTAACCTTACCCAAACAAAACATGTTGTTTAGACAAGTGTAATACACATTAATCGTCTACTTTTGTAAATCTACGATCCCACTATTTGTCATACCTTCACGTATAATCACCACTAAATTTTTGTCGACAAAACCATACAACTAACGGTTTGCTCAGATGTCTGTTCAGCTGATTGTTATAATTTGTCGCTTGAATGCTTATTGTCTTGGCTCTTTCAATGCTACATTTTGTATCTGATCGTCGCTGATTGTTATGTCGGAAACGCTTATCACTTGTACTCGGAACGAGGCACCTCTGCAATTCCCACGACACGAAAGTAAAAACACAAAGACTGGTATAGTTGATGAGTTATTAACCCCAAATACGTTGACGACGATGACAACTCTAGTAGAAAATACACTCATTTATATATTGATTGTACACCCATTTCGATTCATAATTAGGATCAAATCACATCAGTTATAACAAATCACATATAGAGCATAGTTCATGTCAATGGAATACAAGAATATCGTATATTATATAGAATAAAATATCATACAAGAGAAACAAAACAAATACTAGACCGGGTAATCATCACATTGAATCAGAATGGAAGTATTATTGAACAAAACTCATAATGAGTAAATCAATCGAAAATTGACTTTTCTTTCCATCATGTCACCTCCCCTTCCTTTTTTTTTGAAGACTCTATGTTGAGATCCAGCTTTAGATTTTATGACTTCATCCTCCCCCACGAAATAACGTTGGGTCCTCATATTCCCAAGTTACAGTTAGTTTGACTCTATTTAAAGCATATTTCCCGCATTGAGTAGAGAGTCCACTAGAGCTGACCAGATGGTGAGGATCAGCGACATCAGATATGAGGTCAATAAGGTTTGGTTCTATCAACTGTAAATATTAATCCTAATTCCTCACGCTGGCTTACAACCCTCATATTGCCTTAGTATGTAAGTGGACATTCTCAAGGTCCTTTTAGCGTCGCTCAAAGTTCGTCCATGAATTATAGTCTCACAGGGATTTTTTAGTTGTGATTCGCTGTTAATGCTGAATATTTTCCACGTTTCATAAAATAGATATTTGCATGAATATGAACACATTGTATGGTTACTAACTGACTGTTACATTGTTAAATTGACTCGAAACCATCTAACTGATATCGGTTTTCTACTCATTTGTCAAACCTACATATTAGTGTAGAGTCTTGATGAAGAACTAATTGAGACGAAATATTTCTTCGCAAAACTTGAATATTCAATGTCTCAGTGGGAGTATTTATGGAACATCGTAAGATGTTTTATTTGTATGATTAAGCGCAGCATGAACTGTTTTGCAAATATTTAGCTAAACGGGCAGTTGAAAGCAAAATGGGAACTAGTAGGCTTCTCAATCATAATAGTCTTTTTGTAAATTAGACATACTGAACTAATTAGGAAATAAATTCAAAAGACCAAAGTGTATCTGTCAAAAAACAAATATTTTTGCAAAAATAGTACAAAATAAATTCTCTTCTGTATAAAATATACATTTTTTTAAATGTATACGTGATGACATTGAAAGATGGAACGTTCGACACAAATCTGATTATTTTCTCGGTTAATACACGGTTAAACGAAGCTCGAGAGAGATGTTAACCTTGGCCAAGGAATTCACGTTTACCTTCATCGTTCACTGCACAGACATGCTTGAGAGGAGAGGAAATAATCAAAGGAGAAAAAGTGAACAATATTAATATCTTCTCTGAACAATGTGAAAGCAAATTTGACTCATCTCATCTCATTCATTCATTCATTCATTCATTCATTCATTCATTCAAGTGATACATGTTCCGTTTTTTTGTTGGCCAACGTAATAACTCGCTCACATTCATACCTACTCATGAATCTCCAACATATGTTACTCCACACATCCAACTGGATCATCCCACATATAATAACAAACACAAATGGGAAAACAACAAATTATCCATTCGTCCAATTCACTTACTGGCAATT